AGGAATAGAAATGAAAAAAGTCTGTTGTTGTTTTTTCCTGGCAGCAGTAATATGAAAAAGTCTGTTGTTATTTTATGTGACATTATTACTATTTCAAAATTAAAAAATCTATTTTTTGTACTACACTTAGGGGTTGTTTGGTAGCCGGTTAGAGAGGAGTTATCTATGTATTAAATGTAGGATAACTTTATACACTGTTTGGTTAAAAGAAGGGGGAAGAATAATCTCCACGTAGAAGCTAGCATAAGTTATACAATGTTTGGTTGTTTTTTCCTCTTTTTCACATAAAATATAGCATTGCTAATACAATGTTTGGTTCATGTATTTTCTTTTCCGCATAACTAAACATGTATAAGTTATGTGGGAATCTATGTATTATTTATGCAAGGTAGAAGGTGGAATAACTTATACATAATTAGTAATACTTGTATTAAAACACAAAATGACAAGAATACCCTTTATTCAAACTTGTATTTTTTTGTTTAAAAAAATATATTTAAACTATACTAACAATTTTAATAAAAATAAAGTAAGCTAATAATAAATAACACTCATATTACATTTATATTACTAATCCTTATATAACTACCGCATAACTAATCCCCGCATAATTAATCCATGCATAACTAATCCCAACATAACTCAACCTTGCATAACTTATCCCTGCATAACTAATACCTGCATTACTTATTCCTGCATAACTAATACATACATAACTAATACCTGCATAACTCTAACCGGTAACCAAACGACCCCTTATATCATATACTTGTAAAAATTTATTAACTATATAAACTAACTCATATATATATATATATATATATATATATATATATATATATATATATATATATATATGCACACACACGTCTAGATCTACACAATTATAGGCTCGTTTAGTAGAAATGTATTAGGGAAAATAATAAATGTTTTAGCTTTGATATTATTAGTTATATATCATATTAAGTATTATTCTTATACTCCTTCTATTCACTTTTACTTGTCCACTATACTAATGCATTTTTACTTTTACTTGTCCACTATACTAAATCAAGAGAAAAACAACATTTTTTTCTTCATATTTTACCCTTATCATTAATTACTTATTTCTCAAATCATTTCTTAAGACTTTTGGAAATACTATCATTATTATTGGTAAAATTGTAAAATACATACTTCATTTACTTTTTCTTAAGGGGCTTGAAAAGTCAAAACGTGCAGAGTAAAAGTGAACAGAGGAAGTACATAACAAACCATGATATTAGCAATCATAATTTTTAATACATGACTAAGCATGTATAAAGACATAACTGCCATTTCAAAACTTTTAATACACCAAACAAAACCGTCGATAAGATATATTTCCAACATAATTAATTTCAGTTTTATAAATACACCTTATTCAGTACTATTCTTATACAACCTACCAAACGATTCCTTAATCATAATGATTTAGTAGGCGTTTGGACATAAGAATTGTAAAATTCCAAAAAATGGTGAAAAAAAATTTCAAGTGAAAATGGTATTTGAAATTTGGACATAAATTTCAGTTTGGATTGTTTTTGAAATTTTATGAGCGATTTGAGTGAAAATTTTGAAAAACAATTTTTGGGAGTTTTTCAAATTTTCAAATATTTCCAAAATGCATCTTCAAGGGAAATTGAAAAATTTATGAACAAACGTTGATTTTGAAAAAAATAATTTTTTTTGGAAAAAAGGAAAAAGAAAATGTATGTCCAAACGGGCTCTTAATACTCCAAACTCTTTGTATTCATTTAGAAAAAGTACTAGTAACAAAAACTCTATATATATATAGTACACCTAGTATTCCTTTAAATTTATTACTACTAGTCTTAGGGTACGCGCTATGCGCGTGAATTCATATCGACAAATAAGTTATTTTAAATAACAGTATAAATATTATTAAGTAATGAGTTTGAGTTATAAAATAAAATTTATTAGAAAATTATAAGTTATAAGAACTTATTGCAAGAATATCGTACAAAAGATTATTGTTATTTCAATAACCTAAAACTGAAGACAGACAAATAACACGAAAATACTTTTATCATGATTTTTTAAAGGCTTGTCCAATAAAATAAATTAATTTTTGGTCTTTTAGAGATTTTTTTTGTTGATAAAAGTCTTTTAGAGATTTGAAAATGAAAGAGTTGATCCTCGTAAGAAAAATATTTCTTAGTATGACATTAAATTCGAAAAAATGACTAATGTTGAGTGAATATTTTAATAGTAACTTAAATATACTAAAAAATTTATAGGAAGATGTAATTTTGTTGGGGAAAAGTTTAATTATGACAATTCATTTAATTTAGAATTTATTTTATTTTGCTATTTCATCCTTATTGCTTCAAGTTTTATTTTTGGTAATTTCACTCTTAATACTATACCAAGTCAATAACTTTCACTGCTAGTGATGTTATTATTAAAAAAAATTGAATAATTATATTTTCAAACCCTTGGAAAAATAAATTACTTGTATTGATGGAATTTATAAATAAATTTTTTCTAATTAGTTAAATTCAAAGAGTTATATTTGCCGAACCAACTGTTCAATGAAAACAGCGTAATAATTTTCTCATGCAGTGCTTTTCAATATTCATCTCAATTCTTTAGTTTAAATTTTAACAAACTATTATGATTTTATCAAATACACGAACTCTTACTTTCAAAACGAGTAAAACAAGTTAGGTCTTACATTTCATTTTTAATGATTTTTGTATTTTACAGAATGATATTAGTGGATGTGACTCCTGCCAACCACCTTGTCTGCTATCTATCTTCTCTTTTCTTATATTTCTTAATATATTTTTTAGTTATTTATTTTAATTATTGCCTGTAGTTTTTCAGATATTATGCAAAAAATAATAATTATATTTTAATAGTTAGTACTTATTTATATAGTAAAATTATTTTTTTAAATACAAAAAATTATTTCAGAATTAATGTTTTTATTGAAGAAAAAAATGACCGTTTCAAATTTTCAGTGGACATTTGGATCTATCAGCTGATTATTTAAGTTTTCTCACTTTTTAATGTAATAATAATAAAATTAATGGAACATTTCATATTTTGTCTCTTTAATTAGTTTTTTTCACCATATTTCTCGAAATAGATTGATTAGAATTCCTGTCATAATTCTGTCCTAGATGACAATGCTTCCAATTATTTATGTTGATGAGTTAGTGCTTTTTTCTGTATGAGGAGATAGAATTCGTGTTGATGCCTGGATTCAATTTGGTCAAATGGAATTGTTTTGAAAAATGGTGTTAACAAATTTATCGAATATAAAATTATTTAATGGATTATTTTAGTTATTAAGGATAGAAAAAACAAAAGCAAAAAAGGAGAACATTTTTAGGAAAAGTAAAATATTATCGAACATGTTAAAGGAGAACATATGTTGAGAAAGTTCAGTTAAATTTAATTGCTAGATTTTTTACACAGTTCAAATAAGGTAAGATTTAATAATTAAAAGTTAGCTAATTTCAACCCTAAATATTAGGGAAATAATTTTAAATGACAATTTTCGTCTAGCGTAAAATCTATTTTTAAGGGGTGTTAAAAAAGACGAACGACATTTTACTAAGGGCTTTCGTGCTTTTAATATAGATATAGATTATTATTACTGCTAAGGAGTGTATATTTTTGGACGGAGGAGGCAGTATTAATACTCACTCCCCACGCACAACGGTTTCGCCATTGCACTCTCTCCTCAAACCTCTTTCTTCTCTATACCCAATCGCCGGCCTCTGCCCCCATTTGATTCCTACTACCCCCCTCCCCCCCCCCCCACGCCGTCTTCCTCACTATAAATATCAATGTGTGTACACTATTAACTAACTCTTCACGTAATTGTATCACACATTCCTTCCCCTTTGTTTTGATTTTTTTCTTCTTCTTCTGTACTTTTTGCTAAATACAGTTTGGTACTTTCGAGATGTTTGATCTCAATCTCGGTTTCGAAGAATTTGCCATGGACGATGATACTGTTCACGTTTCATACGAAACGACGACGTCGGAGAAGCTACGGGAACTACAAATGGAGAATTCTGGAACATCGAATTCATCCATTGTGAATGTTGAAACTTCCAGTACTGCCGGCGATGATGAGTTTTTTTCATGTTCCGATGATCGTCGCCGTAATGATGGTTACGCATTTGATATTCTGAAAGGGAATGAATACGAGGAGAGTGAGTTTGTGACTAAGGAGTTGTTTCCGTTGACCGGCGGAGAGTCGGCGGCGGCGGAGTTGTTGTCGCCGCAGCAGTGGTTGGATCTCTCGGCTAATTACGGTGGAACGGCGGAGCAGAGGATCATTGTTGTTCCGCAGCAGAGACAACAAGTGAAGAAGAGTAGAAGAGGGCCGAGGTCGAAAAGTTCTCAATACCGTGGTGTCACATTCTATCGCCGCACTGGTCGATGGGAATCTCACATCTGGTCTGTTCTTCTTTCATTTTTTTGGGTGAATTTTTGCTTTAACGTATAAGATAATTACAGATAAATATTTCCATAACATTAATTATTAATCTGATAATAATGCTAATTAACTTACACTGATACTGTAAAAAAAAAAAAAAAACTCTCAGTGTATATAACTCAAATCCTTTTATTTCGAAATGTGTTTATGCAAATAGGCTACTTCCGTACAGATATCATAATTGTTCTATTGCGGTGCGCTGTTAAAATGCTGATAAACTATACGTAGTTAAAGCTAGTAATTTAACCAAGTTTCTATGATGTATTATGCAGGGATTGCGGGAAACAGGTTTACTTGGGTAAGCAAATGTGTTTGTTATACAATAACGCTTTGTTGATTTAAAGTTTTTTTTTACTCTGTTCTTGAATTGTTTTTAACTGCAAGCTTCATTTGGACATTTTTGAACTTTTTAAAATAAATTGTACAGGCGGCTTTGACACTGCACATGCTGCTGCTAGGTACGTTAATGTTAGAATGAGTTTTATTAGAGAAGTGATTTTGTGATTGTACTATTTAAATGGCAGAAATCGAATTGTTATTGTATTAAATTTAATTTCCCTGCTAATTTCAGGGCATATGATCGTGCTGCAATTAAATTTAGAGGACTTGATGCAGATATCAATTTCAATGTCGCTGATTATCACGATGATCTAAAGCAGGTCTGTTGTAGGATACCTAATTATTGAACCACCTAAGTTTGAAATCCTTTTTCTCAATTAGGAAACTGATTTTGGTTCGCTTTAATTGTCTTGTGACTGGTAATGCAGATGTCGAATTTTACGAAGGAAGAGTTTGTGCACATACTTAGACGTCAGAGCACTGGTTTCTCTAGAGGAAGTTCGAAATACAGGGGAGTTACACTGCACAAATGTGGACGATGGGAAGCTAGGATGGGGCAGTTTCTTGGAAAGAAGTGAGTTACCACTTATCTCACCATAGCTTAGGCATGTCATATTATCAGTGATATAGCTGTTTAAAAGCTTTCTTGTTATCTTTCATATCAATATACTGATTTTATAAACTAGAAGAATATTGTCTCATTGGATATATGCCTGCAGGTATATCTATCTTGGACTGTTTGACAGTGAGATAGAAGCTGCAAGGTCCAATGATCATAACTTGACTCTCCCCTCCCTTTTACATTATGTTGCTTACCCTTTCAGCATTGACTAGACTTGGTCTTTTTCTCTTGCTCAGGGCATACGACAAGGCTGCTATAAAATGCAGCGGAAAAGAGGCAGTCACCAATTTTGAGCTAAGCACGTATGAAGGGGAATTAAGTACCGAGGATAATGGAGGTGTTATGTTTAGGCTTTTCCGCATATTTGGACTCCATTATGATAGTTGCGTCTTTTACTCTTTTACTTATCGTGTTAAACGACCTATTTTTCCATCCTTATGTAGGTGCAAGCCATAATCTAGATCTGAACTTGGGAATAGCCTCCTCTTCACTAGCTGATGAACAGCATGGCAACAGCTACCAAATGGTAAACTCTGAATTCCTTCTTGCTTCAAATGGTTTGACTGAATATAAAGGAGCCATGGTAATTGGATTCCATGATTTTCATTCTGATTCTTTGAAGTCATCTACATATGAGATGTCTCACAAAGGAAGATTGGTAGTTTATATTTTCATAAAGCAGCATTCATAGTTGCACATCTTTTTTCAGCACTCTCCTACCACAATAGGAAGTAAACTGCCTCATTGCCGTCAACCGCTGACTGATCGCCCTCTGCTCTGGAATGGAGTGAACACCAGTGTCTTTCCCACATTTAAGGTATTCCATGTCAATACTGATTGAACCAATTTCAATTATTCTGTTTATTCGAGTGGTAACTGTAGCATCTAGAAGTCCCAATCATTTGATGCGAATATTAGTATAATGGTATGTTCCTTAGATAACTAGACAGGAGGCTAATGGTATAATATCTCTTTATAGACATGGATCATATCATCTTCATTCAGTATTCATGACGTTATCATGGTTTTCACTAGCATATATGTAGGCATATAATCAAAGGGGATAGAAAAAATTCTGTCTTAGTTCATCTTAATATCCAGTTTTTCTATCTGATAGGAATAGCTTTAAGAAAACACAATTTTTTATTGTCTTATGTAATCACTGTTCTTACTGGCTGTAAATCTAAACAGTTTGACAATTTGATCTTTGATTTAAGCATTGAACAAAATACTATGATGCTCCTTATAGGGAACAGCAATAGGGAAGGGTATGGAAGTTGATTCTTCACCAAATTGGACGCGGCAAGACCAACATCCTTATGGTGGGAGTCCTTCAGTGCCACTCTTCTCTACTGCAGCATCATCAGGATTCGCTAATTCAACCTCAGCCGCTGCTCATCAACACCACTTCTCTACTGTACCATTACCTTATCATCATTCACCATCACTTGCCAATATGAACTTTGCACATTATTACTGCAGGAGCTGAGGTAGTTTGCTTTTTGATCAACAAAAACAACCACACGATATCTTTTCTTCCTCTGCTATGGGAAAGATGCTGGAAGGACAAAAAAATGTGATGTAAAACTGAATGAAAGCTAGTTTTCTTAGGAATGAGGCAGTGTGAAACTTGTTAAATTTGCTGTACAAAGTCTCAAAAAGCTAAGCATCTTTTAGCAGGACAGCATTTTTACATTGCTTTGACAATTCTTGACTATTATTGAAAATATTCCATTTGAGCTTCATGTTCTTTCATATTCTGCTAGCTAATCTTCTAATGGAGGTATTGATTCGGTTCATAGTATTTGGAAAGATAGAAGAAATTTAATCTCCATTCTTTTGCTGAAGCAAATGAGTTGCTCATTCCCTACTACTACAAATCGAGTCATCTTTGTTGTATATTCAATAAGCTACAAATTGGTATGTGTTCATTTGGTGCTAAGTAAACTTGTGACTTTACCGTTACAATAATCAATTGTCTTATGTTTGTTACAATCTTATCTAAGTAGAAAAGAGTAGAGGGATGAATTCCTTCCCTCAAAGATATCCTCCGTACAATGAAGAGTACATCTTGTGCTTGAGGAGAGCTTTGGAGCATCGCTTAAGTTATTTCTGTGTGATTTGCATGTAGATCACATATTCGAGCCGTGGAATCAGTCATTAATATTTGCATCATAATAGGCTGCCTGCATCACACCCACTGGGTGCGGCCTTTCCTTGAACCCTACGTGAATGGGGATCCGTGTAACTTACAGATCATAGGTTCGAGCTGTGAAATCAGCCATCGATACTTACATCATCAAAGAACGCTACCCACAAGACACCTCATTGGAGTACAGCTCTTCCTTGAACCTTACATATGAGGTGTACGACTCTTCCTCAGACTCTACGTGAATGCATGCACTTGTGGTTGTGGTCTTGCGAGTCCGGAACCAAAATGTGGTTCTTTTGGACTCAAACTACACAAATAGGTATAAAAAAAAAAGTTACCATACTATATATAACGCCAGAAAATCTGGCGCTATACATTAACGGTAACTGCACCGTTAATGTATAGCGNAAAATGTAGTTCTTTTGGACTCAAACTACACAAATAGGTGTATAAAAAAAAAAGTTACCATACTATATATAACGCCAGATTTTCTGGCGTTATACAAAAAAAATCTGACACAGCTGATATAGTGCCATAAAAAGTGGCGCTATATGTTCTTCTAGAGCTACGTACACTTTCTTTTTCTTTTTGGTAATTATTAGACATATGAAATAACTATGAAATATGTTGTTGTCAATTTATTTGCACTTTGAATATATTATACTACCAATAAATACCACAAGATTAAAATTTGTGTTAACAAGTAGCAGTTCATGATTATTATCATATATACCAATAATAAAACTAAAATTGCTGCCATTTATTAAAACTAACAAGAAATATTACGGACGTCATGGAAAAAAAGTGTTGTTGTCAACTCCTAAAAAAAAGAAGCTAACACTCTGTTTGGATCACTGTTCCCCATCGTTTTATAATGTATCGTATTGTACTGTATTGTATTGTATTGTATCGTATCGTTTTATGAATACAATGTTTGGATAGATTGTATTGTTCGTTGTTGTTAAATAGCATTTTGCTGTTTGGTTTGACTGTATCGTACTGTACTTTAACTGATAAGTTTACTACAATACCCTCAATTATTTTAAATATTTAATTTATCAAAAATTACACATAAAAATTATTTAAGAAAACCACTTTCTACTAACTAATCACTAATTATGTCTTATATATAAATTAAGCAATTAAATTCATGCAAATTCTACCGAAATTAGTTGAACAAGTTAATAATATTAAAAATAATAATAAGTACACTATATTTATAATTAGATCATAATAATAAAAATTTTAAAAAAAATATTAAGTAGACTCCATTCAGACAAAAGTAAAACAAAACATTTACCTGAAGAGTATGGAGAAGCGGCAGAAGAACAAAATGAGTTTTTCACGTATGTAGGTTATTATATACTAGGTTATATTTGGGATGTCGTCTTGAGAATTTATATCGGTTATTAGACTTCATGTAGAATTCTATTACAAAATTATGTGAGAAAGAGACTTTGCTATTATTTAAAATAAAAAGGTAAAGGGTAAAATAGAATTATAAAGTAATAAGTTAGGACATAATTAGAAAGAAAAATAGGAAACGATCCCACCACACCAAATCGGTTGTTTCAAAAAATAGGACTTTCCATTGTTCCGGAACAATGGATTTAACAATACAATACAACCAACTTTAACTAAACAATCAAAACAAACATTGTTCGGTGAAAACAATACAATACTTTACAATAGGTAACAACCATTCAAACAAGCTGTAAAGCTAATAAGTGGAAATGTAAAGTCTAAAAATAACCAATGTTGAGTTAATATTTTACGATAATAACTTAATATAACTTGTCATTTGTTGGAAAATCCCTCAATATGTTTAAATAAAATATCAAAATGAAAAATACTACCTTGAGTCATAATGTTAACTACATATGTTTGAGAATCTTAGTTGGGGTGAAAATAATCTACATAATTAAGATAAGAAAAATTTTACGAACATATAAAGTTTTAATTGATTTCAAAGTTCTAAATATTAGGCAAATCATTAATGACTATTATTAAATATTAGAAAACTTATTAAATGAATATTCATAAATAGTAGAGCAATAACTAAATGATTGTTTTACACGTATTTGACGTGTGCACTTAAGTACGACTCTAATTTTTCTTCCAAAAAATCAATAATTAGTGATGAACTTTTTATGGTACCTAATAATTTTATAGGTTAAATAGAGATGATACAATGATTATCGATAATTTGTTTATGCTATTACTGACAAAACTAAGGTTGCAAAAAATATAAAACGTTTAGTGCAAAAAATATAAAACGTTTAGTGACACAAATTTTAATCTTGTGGTATTTTGTGGTAGTACAATATATTCAAAGTGCAAATAAATTGACAACAACATATTTCATAGTTATTTCATATGTCTAATAATTACCAAAAAGAAAAAGAAAGAGTACGTAGCTCTAGAAGAACATATAGCGCCACTTTTTATGGCACTATATCAGCTGCGGTCATATTTTTTTATTATAACGCCAGAAAATCTGGCGCTATACATTAACGGTAACTGTACCGTTAATGTATAGCGCCAGGTTTTCTGGCGTTATATATAGTATGATAACTTTTTTTTTACACCTATTTGTGTAGTTTGAGTCCAAAAGAACCACATTTTGATTCCGGACTCGTGGTCTTGCAAAGGCCTAACAATAAAAATGAGTGGGGCATCAAAGATTCGATTGACTTTTGGTATGCCACGTTGAATAGTGAAAGTTAGGTCCTAATTACTTAGGTTCTGACGAACAAAGTACTAAAATAACGCAATCCTCGGCTTTGCTTTCAAGAACCAAAGAGTAGTAAACATATTACTCGTAAAAATAGGTTTGTCCGGATGGATTTGTATACATAAGGAACTAGGAAACAAATTTGAAAAGAAAATGCCAACCCCTACTTTTTGTACTCCCTTCCTCTTGGACTAATTATTTGCCTTACTTAAATGTGACTCTTTGTCAACCTCAGGAGCCAGAATTAGGTGTTCAAGATCCTGTCCTTTTGTACAATTATTAGTAAGATATTTTAGTATTTTCAACCTCAAAAAGAACGACGTAGAATTTGAGAATAACTCATTTAATTTTTCCATGTGAATTTAGTTTTTATTAGTTAAATATTCTAAATAAAAAATGAAAAAAAAGTATCGTAGATAGTAATAGTATCACTTGTTCGGAACAAAAGCGAATAAGATATAAGTACTCAAACTTATCATATACTATAACTTCGATTTATATGGCCCGCACCAAATATTATGCTTTGTCGTGCTTTGTATGTTTGTTGTTGCTCTTCCTTTTACCTATTTTAAGTCGAGGGTCTTCCGAAAATAGTCTCTTTGCCTTCTTAGAGGTAGAGGTAAGGTGTGCGTATATATTATCCTCCCCGGACCCCACTTAAGAGATTACACTGAATTTGTTGTTGTACTAGCTAGTTCTGGACGCGCGCATGCAAGTGATGTTTTAGTTAAGCTGCCAAAACCTAAAATTAAGTAAAATTATTTTGAAAACTTAAACAAATCAATTCTTACTTAGAATAGTTCTTCGAACAGTCTTGCATCATTTGATACTGAATGAATCGATTTTATTTTTACGTTTAAAACCCTTCTTTTCCAAGTATTTAAGTTTTCCACATGGTTGAGTTAGTTGATTAGGGTAAAAAAGAGTATAGTCCTTATACAATCATCTCTCGAGACCAGTAGCGAATCTAGAGGTTCGATTATAGGTACAGGTGAACTAAATGACTTTCGTCTATAACTTATTTGATAGTGAACTTTATTATTATTATTATTATTATTATTATTATTATTATTATTATTATTATTAACTTGATATCGTGATAGGAAACTATAAATATTAAAGAATCCTTAGCAATAAAAATTTTAACACTATCGTCACATGACCCTTCCTTTGGTCTATGAGCTGCATCAGCTTCAATAAGGTCATTGATAGTATACTGTATTACTGTTAGAGGCGATTGTGGATATTAATTAGTCATTTTGTCGCATTTCAAACACGCATTTTGTCGGTACAAGAACAGCAAGGTTGTTCTGGTTATGATTCGGGGGAGTGTTTGGTACGAAGGAAAATGTTTTTTTTGGAAAATATTTCTTGAAAAATAGGTGTATTTTACTTATTTATCGGTGTTTGGTTAGATAGTAAAAAGTATTTTTTTTTTTAAATTTATAATTTAGACAAACATTATATGACATAAAATGGATAAGGACGGGGGAGAATGCTATCGGGGTCTAGGGGGTCGGAGTGGCGGTAACGATGTTAGAGGAGGGGGTGTGGTGAGAGGCAGGGGCGGATTTAGGGGGGCGCAAGGGTGTTCACCCGAACACCCTTCGCCGAAAAATTACACTGTATATATAAGGCAAAATCTGTGTTTTACCTATATATATTAAGTTTTGAACACCCTTAAGGGTGTTCAAAATCTACATAAGGTCATGGGTTCAATTCCCACTAGTTATAAAAAATTTTTTGAACCCCTTCCTGGAGATCCTGCCTCCGCCACTGATGAGAGGGTGGATGGGGATAGGGGTAGGGACGAGGGAAGGTTGAGAAAGAGTTTTAAATATTGTTTTCCCTCCTTTTCGTAGGAAAATCATTTTCCTTCAATTAGAAGAAAATGAGTTTATGAAAAAAATATTTT